TTAGTGAACTTAAAAAAAAAACCAATTGAATTGCCGACCTTAAGAACTTTAATTTATTTTGAGTTTAAAATAACATATTATGTATGTTACATACAGGTCACCGCGTAAAAAATCAGTCGATAGTATTAAATTCTCTCTTGTCAAATTTGCAGATAAGAAGCCACCGAGTAATTCTGCTTCACGCGTAGTGCGGAATGCAGTTCGTGCCGATGTGTTCTATAAGCAAATGAATAATGATTAAAAATTTCAATTATAACCAATTTCATTTAGCATTGTCGAAGTATTAATATAATGAATCATATAACATTTCTCGACAAACAACTCACAAATAAAACTTTCATAGGAGCCATGACCTTATCAGCAAAAAAATAAATTTTGTGGTACAAATTGAACAAGTCATTATCCTACCTTAAAAGCAAAATTCTTTAAAAAATGAGCCACACCGACATTATCAGTACCCTCCTCCCGAGAACCAGCCTTTACCACAAGGGAGACAGAGGAAGCAGGGGCACTATCTTTTTATTATTTGTATAAAAGTTCAGAGGTATGAAAAACACGAGCTACTCAGGCTTTATAATTCCACCAAAGTCTGTTGTGATTTCTATCGAGTGTTTAGAAGGCCAAAACTTTTAGAAACATGTTCACCTTCAACCGAAACGACAGTAATTCCAGTTTTAGACTTTGTGACAGTCACAGGTGAGGCAGCGACACTAGCATAAGCTCGACTAAATGAAATTTTAAAAGAACTCCTGAATTTACTCGACAATCGGCACGTACGAAGCATTGCTGTCAGTAATCTAGCGAGTTAACGAGTTACGAGTTTCTCGGTCAACTTGCCTCGGGAAATGCTATAATTGAATGATGTGTTTTTTTTTTTTTTTTAGATCTAAGCCACGTGATAATAAAATAATATTTGAACTTCATCTAAAAATAATCAACCTCTTCAAACATTGTAAACGAAACAAACAAAAAGACAGGTTTAACGTTGTCAAATAACTAGGCAAAGGAAGCTGTTAAAAAATCCAGATAACGCTGATTACTTATTCATAATAATTAACTTAGTTTCTTATGCCATTATAAGCGGAAGTTTATACTTAAAAATAGTGACCGGAGGTTTTTACATAGTTTAGTAATAATGCTAAAAACAATTTTTACTTTTTAATAATAAATCTGAGAGACCAACGTGAGAATTGACTAAGTTGATGAACTCACGTGATGTTGCATGAAACGTTCCAACGTGAGGCGAACAAACGG